TAATAATAATAACAAAAAGCCTTAATGAAAAGTGAATTTACTGATTAAATGTGAGGTAAAGAAAACAGGGGTATTATTTTCTTTCAGAAAAAGAAACATTCACAACAAATACTAATTTTTCAGTATACATATATCAAACAATAGTGTACATTTAGTAGTGCACTATTTTTTCCAAAATAAAAGATCCAGCTTTATATCACTTAGCCTAAACGTTTGGTTTTGTATCATTTTAGCACACCTGTCTGGAGATGACATTTTATGTAAATGACAGGAACTCAGATTAAATCTTTAGGTTCCTTTACAGACAGAAATGGCATGCCATTACTTCAGTTTTTACGGCAAACAATTTTTGAAACTATAATGGTGCATTTCAGTGCAGTAGCAGCTTGTTTTAAACATTCAGCAGATCTGTCACTTAGTTCACAGAAACAAAAAAGTAGTTTATAAAAAATATATCTTCAAAGGCCATACATTTTTAATGGTTTTCAATGGATCAGAATTAATTCTTTGATTGTATTTGGAAGGTTTGATGCATTATAATGATGCAGCTGAACTTCTGGAGGTTTGTCCGGACAAGATTGATTGATTTTGGTTCAAAATAATGTGACCTACAGAGAAACTGATAAATAACCGCACAAACAAAAAAGAAAGAATCGAGCCAACTCTTGACGTCTATAACTGTGATGCTATCCACACACCCCACAGTATTTTTTTCTTAAAAGTAACAATACAAGATAAAATAAATATTGGATTTAAAAAACAAAAGGATGTTAAAAAGATAAGCGAACCAGTGAGTTGTCCCGTAACAGCCTTTAAAATGCTCATATTTATATAAAAACAGGAGAAGGTAACAGTTTCTTTTTTAATAAAGTGCTGTCTGGAGAAAAATAAAACTTTAAGAAGCCAACTGATGAAGTCCTGAGAAACATAACTCGTTCTTTTTACACTGAGCTCTGCATAGTAATCTTTTAGGATTAATAATCCATGGATTTGGAACCACATATATACAGTATATGTTCCTGCATTAAGAGTAGAAAGCTACAGATGTGTGATGAGGTGAACAAGGCACGAGCAGCCGTCATGAGGAAGAATTTGTTTCTTTTTTAAAAAATAAAACTCAAGTCTCTTTTTAATAGTTTGGTCATGTCATACTGTTGCGAACACAGCAGCTTTTAAATAGAGAATAAATAGCTTCTTTGTATCTTTGGTCCGTTTTGAGGTGCACCTCACAGCCAGCTGTCCTGAGAGGCGGTGCCGACTATAAAGAGCGCAGAGGGATCTTTGTTGGAGCTCTCCTTTTTGTCCTTGGAGCCTCGGCGTTTGCTGGACTTCCTCTGAACTCCACTGGTGCTGCTGCTGGACTCCTGGGTCTTCTCCTGGGTCTGAGGGAATCTGCTCATAGGCACGCTGCTGCTCGCATCACCCTCGGACTCGAGCTTGCGGGCTTTGGTCTTCTTCTGCTTAGCTGCCTTCTGATTGGCGTTGAGCGATTTAGCGGGAAGCGGCGGCGATTTCTTCGGCTGAGGAGGCGCGGTCGGTGCTTGTGGCTGCACGGTGGGGGGGTTAATTTGGGGCATGAAGTTGAGCTGGGCTGCACCGTTGCTGATGACCACATCTGTGAGGCAGTCGTCATCCGTCTGCTCCTTTGCGAAGCCGATAAATACCTGCAGAAATGAAGCAGCCGTGTGAAAATGTATTTATTTGTCAACACAAATGTATCAGTTGGATTAGCTTGTTTTGAAGAACTGTAGTGTAGATCGTGCACATTATTTTGTTGCCCATCTTTGCTCACATCACACCTGCAACTGATTGCTTTATAACCACGTGGGCTGCAGCCCTCACATTTATTATTTACTAGTTAACTATAACTATTGTTTATCATCAGTGTGGTTTTTAGACCCGGACCTGGTCTTGGATGTTTTCTATCAGCACCTCCTGTACACTAGCACCCTGGAAACAGGTTGCACCAAAAGTGAGATGGGTTCCAGACGAGTTTGAGGTGCTTTAAAGTCAATATATCATTATGCTGAATTAAACTGCAAACAAAATTTGGAAGGGAATATCTGATTGAGCCACAGACTCTCAGTGCAGGTGTTGAAAAACAGGCACGTGCAGTAGATGTGAGTGGAGGTCGGCAACAAAGTGACGTAAACAGTAGGGGTGCAAGAATACATGCATCTGCATCAAACCGTTCAATACACAGTGTGTTTCGAACAATACAGATTTATTAAATTTATTTTATCAACTTGTCTTCTGAAGATGCTCTGTGTTAAAGGATCAGTGGATCTGAGTTCGACTACTCCATCTAGGCTGCATCGTCGAGCGCAGATCCACTGAGAAACTTGCTGTTTCAGCAACTTTTAATTTAAAAAACTGTACTTTTGAGATTAAACAAATGTTCTTGATTAATTTCAACAATATATCAGTTAAGAAGGGCGTGGACATTTCTCTTTATTTGTATTAAAAAAATATCAAACCGAAACTAAAGTATCGAACCAAACCAAATCTTTAATTTTCTGTATTGTTGCACTCCTACAATTTTTTAAAAATTGGCCCTGCATCTGCACAGCCTGCTGGTTATTTGGTTGCAAATACTCAGAATGAAAGGAGACTGTAACTATTCACCTATTTTATTGCAATTTCCTCTCCTTTTGAATCGACACTAGTCACTAACAGTCACATCCAAGTGATATATTTGCTTAATGTAGTGAATCCTAGAGATATGTGACGTGTTCAGGCTGCAGAACTCTGGTTAAATTATCATTAAATTACCCATTGTTAAAAAATTTACTAGTAAACCTGTGTGAGAGCTTTAAACATTTTATAGTGGGGAAAAATATTTAGTCAGCCACCAACTATGAGAGACAGGTAAATGAGGGGAGGACAGAGGAGCCTCTTAAAGAAGAAGTTACAGATCTATGAGAGCCAGAAATCTTGCTCGTTTGTAGGTGACCAAATACTTATTTTCCACCATAATTTGCAAATAAATTCTTCAAAAAAATCAGACAATGTGATTTTCTAGATACGTTTTCTCATTTTGTCTCTTATAGTTGAAGTCTAACTACGATGTCAGTTACAGGCCTCTCTCATCCTTTTAAGTGGGAGAACTTGCACAACTGGTGCAAGTTAAATACTAACTAAATACTTTTTTTCACCACTGTGTGTCCCTGGTGCATCCTCCTCCTCACCTGGTCCAGTGTGGTCTGTGAGACGGAGAAGTCGATGATGCCAAGCTCCTCGTAGTTGTTGGCCAGCGCATCGAAGACGCGAGCCAGCGAGCAGCTGTGCGAAGCCAGCTGGTACTGCAGGACGCTCTGGTGCCGCTCCTTCAGCTCGATGCTGGGAAAAGACGTCCTCATGTAGTCGTGGACGGGACAGGAGTCCGGGACACATCTGTTGTCCGTTAAACGGAGGACGATGGTGTAGCCATCGCCAAACCTGAAAACACAACTCGTGCCTTCTTAAAATGTCACGCTCTTATTGAGTGAAAGCTGGTTGTTTCATGGTTACCTGTTCTTCARGTGTTGCACAGATCCAAGACACTGAAACCTGCCGTTGACCATGATGGCCATCCTGGTGCAGAGGGCCTCACACTCCTCCATACTGACCACACACACATGAAAAGCAAACATTAACATCCCTCTAAAGAAGCATTTAACTGTAAATATTTATGTTTGTGTGGTTGTAGGTGCTCCACCGATGGACCAGAGTCCCGCCTCTCTATTGTGAACCTTGTGTTGGTGTTCACCTGTCTTACCTGTGGGAGGTGAGCACAACCGCTCGGCCCTCTTTTATGACACTGAGGATGCAGTTCCACAAAAATCTTTTGGCTTTTGGGTCCATCCCAGTGGTGGGCTCATCCTGATGATGCATAAAAAAAGAAAACCATTAAATGAAATTAAAAAAAACATTAAATGAATTAAAGACCAAGCATTCCTGCAGCTTTTCAAGGCAGTTTGAAACTTGAATCATCTTGTGGTGAAAAGGGGCGGAGTCTTAGCCACTTCTGACAAACCTTGTAAATAACTTTACAAATGATTTCATGTAATATTATATAATATTTTCATTCATGGCATCATTTGCTTTTTTGTTTTTATTTTTTATTTTACTGCATATACTGTAGATGGTTTTGTTTTATAAATGAAATAAATAAACTGAATAAATAATATTGTGAGATCTCGTGCCATTAGTTAGTAAGGGCAAATAAAGAGAATTACTTTTTTGCTTTTTCTAACATTAGCGAAAAAGACTTTATTATTGCACCTTTGCTTTTAGCAGAAGACAATACACCACAGGAAACTAATTAATAGGGGTGGGAATCTTTTACTATCTCACAATTTGATTTTATTCTGATTTTTGAGGCCGCAATTTGTTTTAAAATCTTTTTTTCATTCAGAGCTGATAATATGAACTCATTTGTCATGTTCCCTAAATGCTTCATTCTCATTTTGCAAACCTTGCTTTTATTTTTAACTTTTATTTTATCTATTTCGTCATTTTAACCTTACTGTTTACAAGACAAAAAAAACCAAAAAAAAAACAGAACACTAAAAACAAAACAGAATTAACACAGAAAATAAATAACACACAATCTTTGAAATCCACTCAACCGAAAAACAGAAGTGTAGGTAGAAGCATAAGCTTTTTATACCTTCACTAAGCTCGTTTTAAACTTGGACTCATTGGGTACAAACCAAAATGAGCCCAAATCTTTTCAACAAAGACGTAGTTTCCTCTTAGTTTTGGTGCTTTCTGCAGATGCATAGGCTGTGTCCAAAACGACAGGCCGGGTCCTCCGGAGGACCCAGACTCCCCGGTCTCGGCGGGCCGGGTCCTTGGTAGACCGGGAAGACCGGAAAAAAAGAGGCTG